AGAGAGAGAGAGAGAGAGAGAGAGAGAGAGAGAGAGAGAGAGAGAGAGAGAGAGAGAGTCTGATGAGGTGTGTGTGGCGCGATGACGTAGTGCCAAATTATTAATAACATTTTGGTGTAAACACGATGATCGCATAAGATATCGATTCAAACACCGAAACCAACCCGAAAAAAAAGGTTCATTAACAAAGCGAATTCAACACATGACTGAATTTTACTCTCGTTCGACGCGGTTTTTTCTTGTCTTTTTTCTTTCGTTTTTCGTCTGCTCCACATATTTTTACTACTTGAGCTCACTTTTGGCTCATTAAACGAAATCGTTGCGGTTCTTGGTTGCCGTTGCCTTTGCCAATTCCACTACAATACAATTTTATGTTTTTTTTTTGGTGTATTTAATGCGAATTACCTTCTCGATCGTAATCTGGTGAGAATAACAAAAGCCAAAAACAGCTGATTCGATGCTTTGTTTGATTTCAAACCATATACACATACCAATAACGCGTTTGATATTCGCGAAACGAAAAATGAACAACGGAACAAAGTCATTTTAGCAAATCGACTGCACGTGCTCATATTCAACAACAAATTACATTACAGAAACATGGACACCAAAATCGCGATATAAATGAACGCGCACCACAATGTCGCTCAATAGAGAATAGGTAGCAATTGTTGTGTTATGAGAATGAGAGAGAGAAAAATATTCGAATAATTAAATTTCGACATAACAAAAATCGAATGAAATAATGGAAGAGTGTGAGTGAATTTTCTCTTTGTTTCTATGCCCGGCTTAAGGTACCAAATACCGTTAAGAAGGGCAAAGTTTCACTGCTTTTGTGGCAGCCACACCGTGGATTACATTTATTACTTAATTTCGAAAATTTTCTACGCTTTTGTTGGGAAATCGGTTTTGTGTGATGCTGTTTACGCGTTGAACGGTTGAAACGGCTTGGAAACTGTGTTTACGCGTCAGCTGAATTGGGTCGACAATCCGGCGCGTTGAATACGCCTATCTGAGATTTCTGTCACTGAACAAATTTCTCAAACATCCGACCGGAAGAGTTTACTTTTTTACTGCTCCCATTTTTTATTTACATTTCATTTGTCGCTGCATGACTTTTAACTACTCTGCGATGTTCGTGCGGCGAATATTGCAATTTCTATGAAATCATTTCATCTCTAGCCATCAACAACTTTGTAGAGTGAAATGACTTTTGTTTCGCTAGAATAGAATCGATAAACTTCCGAACTGAATATGGCTTTGCCGTATTAATGTGAAAATGCTCTGAATTTTTCTGCCATTTCAGTTAGCATCGTTTCGTTCATATGTTGGCACAATATATACACATTTTATCGAGTACTGGAGTCATACATTTTCCCGTCGTCACACACATTTATCGCCTCATGACTAATTTAAAACGGTCGCACAATATGGAGTGGTGCGTTGCACGTTTCAACTGTATATCCTTTTGCTTGGAATTACTTCGTTTTTTCACGGATAATTGAGACTATTCGAAGCGATTATAAGAAATCATGAAACTTAATTCTCATGAATGGAATCATTGCTGTTCAAATAGAATTGTTGAATAAAATATATTGAGCCATGTGAAAATCTGGTATATATGTCTCCATAAAGACCTTCAGATTCACATTCATTCCCAGTAAATCACATTATTAAACTGTCGTCTGACGATGCTGCTGCTGCTGCTGCTATTGATGTGTATTTTTATCTCTTCTGAAAATCCATTTTCAACTCTCGGCATTAGTCAGTTCTTACAAAATAATCGGTCGGCTGCTGATTGATGCAGAAATCATTTCCTGTGCCGATTAATTGATATCATTGGATGTTGCCTAATAGGATTACATTGCCGTGTGCCTGTATGCGAATTTGTATGCGATGTGAAATCTAAGTGGATTAATTACTGTCATTTTCGCTGTGCAATAAAATAGCATCACATTGCATCGCACTCGCACCCACCCATGTTGTTGCATTGTGAATAATACACTTTAATTATATGGCTTGTTGTAAATTAGCGCTGGTAATTTGAGTTATCATCATAATAATAAACTTAAACTGTGCACATTAGCGGAAAGTCAAAGCAAATGGCGAGATGGTGATTGCGATATCGATCCAATGGCATGCCTGATTATAATAACGACAGAAAAAAAGTAATAATAGTAACATGAATAAGCGTGTGAGCGCGAGCTCGCAACTGTGATTCACCTATTGAAAATGTGCAACCCATTCAAGCTATTTCCGTTAAACCGGTGCTCGATTCCGATCTTTTTTTTTATTTTAATCAGTTTTTTATATAATATAAAAAAACGGCGACATGAACTGGTTTCATCGGTGCAATATGCATTTTATTTTTGTATCAAAGCGACTGAATCGAAAGCAAGTAGCAGCCCAGCTGTTATGCGAATGACTAACGCGCCGCGCTGAATGTATAGCGACAAGATATGTTAGTTTTAATTAGTACATATTTTTTTTCTAGCGTTGCTTTAGCTTGTTCGTTCGGTAGTTCATTATTTTTTCGTTTTCAAAATGTTCTTTTTCTCTCTCAAAATCGTCGTGTTGCATCAGACGCAGGGAGCACAGCAACAAATTTTCGGTTAATGAAGTTAGTTGTGAAAAATGATGTGATGGATTCATAAAATCTAAATATAATTTATCTGACGGCAACCAATGGGCATTGTGTGTATGCGTATTCTCTAGGCCCTGAATTGATGAACAGACACCAGCGATATACACCATGTGAAGTGTTAGAAAGTGCTACTTTAAACGTCGAACGCTTCACGTTGATACTAGATGCAAACGACCCTTAAAACACGCTAAAAACCGCATTTTTAATCAGATGATGCGATCAATATCCTACACATCATGTTTTAAACGTGTTACACATTTTGAGATGATTTTATTAATTTTTCCCATGAACTTGTAATAACTCGGCTATATTTGCACTTTTTTTCGACGATGTTGTTATTTTTTTCCCGTCGTTAGTTCTTTTTTAATGACTGCCGTTCATTTTGTGTTCCCATTCATGGTTGTTGCATTATTTTTATGGTTTATTCATAGTTGATAGAGATTGAATTTTCACACCATATCGACTTTATGTGTCCCGAGACACGATTAAATTATGCGACATATTAAACCTCCGGTCAAACCAATCCCCGATGCCAATCGCTCGATTTTATAAAATTATCGAACATGTGCATTTCGCACATCGGGCCGGATGGTAGTGGTGTTCGAGTGCCATGATGGTCATTACTTTTTATCCATAAAATGTACTTTATGAAAGAGCGGCAGCAGCGTTAATGGATGGACCGGATCCACTCGTCGATTCGTGTGTATGTGCGGATTTGCAGTGAGGAGCAGAGCAATAAAAATGAATCACAGCTCAAGTGCAATAACCGAAAACCATTAAACTATAAAACATTTTCCATATTATATCCAAACGGTTATGAAGTCATTAAAGTAAACGATGCCAGAATCCAGTTTCTCTATCGAATTTCCCGAAGAATGAAGACCCGCCACATAACAATAGACAATGTTATATCAATACATTTTATGAATGAAAACATATGAAGGCGTGAGAATAAAAGACTGACGCTACCAGATTTTTCGCAAAAGCGGGATAAAAATCAGTTGCACGCAAAAGAGACATTTCAAAAGGTTGCACGCAAGAAAGAAGTATATTGTTGTTGTAATCACGGCTTTAAAATTCAAAATGCGACAAAATAAAATGTTCCGTTTGCGTGTAACCTTTTGAAATGTCTCTTTTGCGTGCAACTCATTGTTATCCCGCTTTTGCGAAAAACCTGCTAGCGTCAGTCTTTTATTCTCACGCGTTCATATAAATTATGGAGAAAGAGTGGCGTTATCATCGAGAATGTGAACCGTTTCGAGTGCATTACATAAAAATTGTATCAACAGAACCGGCGATGTTGAGTCATAAAGGAGATGATAATGCATAGTATTTAACAGTGCATTAAATGGCCATTTTCTTCTAAACTTTAATTTTACTTAACACTTCTTATGCTGTTCATTTTATGTCAAGTTCAGGATGGCGGTCAATTTTCAATTTGCCGGATCGAGGCCTCGGGTCAGCAACAAGACTTTTTAGATGCGTACAGAACAATGGCAAATATGATTATCGATTTGAAAATACAATGGGCTTGAACATAGCCAGCCAACCATCAGACGACGTGTACCATCACATTATGGAAATGTGATTATTAATACTCATTTGCATAAAACAATTTTAGCATTGGCGTTGGGCCACGAGATTAGATCGAAATTTAATTAACAACCGGCACCGATTAAATTTAATTGTCGCCATTCATTTATTAATTACACGGCGACAGCGATTTGACAGATTTGAAATCATTTAACGTCATCGGATGAGCATTTCAAGCCGTGTAACACAAGTTGTGTGTTGACATTCATTCTATGGGAAAATAGATTGTGACTTACCATTTGTTGCTGTGTTTTCGGCTTTCGTATTAAATCAGACACCTTGACTGCTGTCACACCTTCGACCACATCGGCCAACAACAGTCCATCGCGGCAATCATTCTGCAGGTCATTGACTCGTTTTTTCGATTTAACCCTCTCGAGATAGTGATTGGCCCAGTTGGTGTACACCTAAAAATAACATCAAAACAAACAAATTTGGCGTTTATTTTCTCTCGCAAACACAATTGAAATGTTACATATGTCAATTGATAAAATTATTGCAGCCACAACTCCAATTCTGACTGTAAACAGTGTGCGGTACAGTTTTTCTCCGTTCAGACACGGGAAATCGTTCTATTTTTAGTGCGCACAGACTTTTAGACATTGTGTCAACAACACATTTTGTTCGACAAAATACACATATTAATATTGTTGAACAAGTTGTTTGGAAACCAAAAAAAAAATCAATGCGCCCAGTGTATGTGTAACGAACGCAGAAAAATTATTGTATAAAATTCACATTTGGTTTCTTTGTTGTTGTTGTTTTTTCTTTCTCGATGTTGTAAATGATTACATATGTTTTTTTCGGTTTTGAGAAAAAAAAACCAACACTATTTGTAAATACATCATTGAAACATAACAAGCTGAAGCTGACAGCTCGATGAAGTGTGAAAATATATGGATTCGGATAATTATACACTTATGTCGCTGATAACGAGAACTTGTGCAAAAATGCACTTGGATGCTACAATTTTTACGCCTATTGTGTGTGTGTGTGCTTTTCGGAGTACGTGAATGAACTCCATGCTAGGGTGCCTCACACTAATTCCGGTACATAATAAAAACCAAATAGCGAAGAAAACGATTAATTGTGTGCTTCGATTAGTGAAGCATGTTCGAGGCATTAACGCGTACAAAAGATAGATCGTCTACAAGTTGTAGGCTAAAACAAACGTATCGACTAAAGACGAATAACAAACGAAAAGAGAGGAAAAACGTCGACAAGAAACACCAGAAAGAATGAACCAAAAACTACAAATGCTATTTACACATTCGATCGAACTCGGCCAAAAACCCTGTATCAAGAATACAAACATGAATATTTGTTTTTGTTATATTCATCATGTAGAAATACAACAACGGCGCTCCCATTAAATAAACAGACAAATTCAGCTCAAACTGCATCGAAAATCCCTTTTCGAATGACAAAACATTCAGTCATTCACTCAATTCCACACTCACTATGTGTTCGCATCAAAGATAAATATTTTTCGGACGAAGAAAATATTGTTTTGCAAATGCCTCGGGCAAATTCACAACATGAATATCACTTTCAAAGGACGTGAGTGAATTTCTCTTGGGTTCTGTTTGTCAAAGACCGCCTTTGACGAAATATCAATTTCATCGTTGCCGTCAGAAACAATGGCAAACGTAAAAACCAAATGTGCAATGACAACAAATGAATAGTGACAGAAATATGGCCCGAGCAAGTGATGTTTCAGCACTTTGCCAGAACAAAACTCAAAGCATACGAATGAACGAACGAAAAAGAAAAGAATTGGAAAAGTAATATCGATAATTCATGTCCTGGAGGAAGGAAAGACATCCGCAATGTACGCACAAATATCAACACCTATACTATACCCAGTATTGTCGTATCCATGGTAACAAAAGTTCCAATATTGTTTCATAACTTGCGACCATCCCCTATAATAAATAAATATTTTGTCATATATCGATCCTTCTTGACGTTCCCAACCTTCAATACCGACACTTCTGCGTCTTATCAATTGAAGATTGAAGCTGTTTGCTCACATTGAATTCAAATCGTTATTCTATGCTCAAACGAGAGGAACGAGAGTAAGAGTGAATATGAGAGAGAGAGAGGTAGGGAGAGAGAGTGTGCGTGCGTGTGAGAGAAAAAGAAACAAATAAACTCAAGTGACACACTGTCTGTCCTATATAAACCACTCGTTTATTTTAATGAAATGTATCTTGAACATTCAGTTTCGACTGGTGCGAAACATTGTTGTAAACACGTGTAATGGAATACCATATTAAAAAGCGGTGGAATATCATATTGGACATGTTCAAGCATCTCATAATGGCTCTCCTGATTCATTTACATGTTTATTAAAAAGCGAACCATTCTCCAATTTCGAATACGAACGACAAAGCCACTTCAAAAAATAATGCGGTGATAAAAATGCATCCAAGTCCATTCTAATTGCTTACAGCACTTATTATTTGGGTATTATTTTGATGACTTCAATTTTCTCTTCGAGCTTCTCTTTTTGTGCTTGTGCTTGTGTGTGTGTGTAATTTTATTATTGGTCTTGTTCTACTTATTCTATACGCTGTGTGTGTTTTTGCTTTGGAATAAAAATAATATTTACAAAGCAAACAAAATCTCTGCTGTTCAAATGGAATACGCTGTCATCGTAAATTTTATGTGGATTTTTTTCTCTTCTCCGTGAAACAAAGCCAGTGTATGTGTCTTTTACTCTGTTTGTGTTCAGTAAAAAGTGCACATCTTTACCAATCATCCATGATCAGTATACGGTTGTTATATCAACCAAAAATTACTTCTTTTTTTTCTAAAATAAAGGAAACGAAGGAATTTTCGTTGCCCTTGGTGGAATGTCGAAGATGGAGACAAAAACGAAGACATGAACGACATTAAAAGAGCTTTTCCGTGCGCCATTGAAGGAAGAAAAATGTTTCTTGTTTATTTCCAAACGAGTACGAGGGTCAATAACATGAGCAAAATGAGTTTACGCAAAATTCCGCATTTTATTATTCCAGCGGCAGAATTGTATTTGTGAACGAGACACATAAAAAATTTACGCATCCATATCCCCTCCATTTATTTCAATTCGCATGACCTGAAATTTGTCGTTCGCTTCCCTTTTTCTTTTTATTAGATTGAAAGTGACATGGAAAGTGGCTTCATTCGGTGCCATTTTATTAGCTCAAGTTATTTGATGCGGTGGCTTTAAAGTGTGCCAGAGACAGTGAACGAGAGCGAGAAAAATGCACCGAAAAATTCGTGAATATTTATGGTAATAAACCGATAATGTTTGATATAAACTAATAAAATACGGTTCTAAGCTTATTTTCACCCGAATGAAAAACGGCAACAGCGGCGATAATGCGTGGCTCATATTGACGCACAAATGCCAGAGCTTAAAATATTCATGCGGAGTATGAGTTTATGATACAAAAAAAAAATGTCTCCATTGAAGTCGAGCAGCTTTGCATTTGTTTTCCTCTTCGTTTTTTTTTTTCATTGCAATGCCGGAGTCGAGCTCATGGTAATCAATGTCAAACAGAGAGCAAAATGGCACGATTTCCAACGCTTTTTCCTCCTATGTCTCTCCGAAAGAAAAAAAAAAGCGGAAGAAGACAAGACGACAAAGTTCAGCTCTTCCTCTGTGCTTCGTTTTCATTCTAACCATATATTAGGTTCATTTTTAATGCGGCCGTTCGATATCGATCTTTCTTCCCTGTTTTGCCAGTCGTCGTCGGCGTTAGCAATCATTTCTTGCACAAAAGAACCTAGTACTATTTAAAGAGACAGGCAGCAGCAGCAGCAGAAGAGACGATTCAATGCCAATTTAAGTACATTATGGAATTATGGATTATTCATATGTTGATGTTTTGTACGTGTTGATATTGATGTTGCTGCGTCGTCTATTGTCGGGGATTTCAATTCGCCATTCGTCGCATACGACATCAGCGACAGTACCGACGACGACGACGACGCCGACGACATTTTCTGCATTGCGTTTGCAAACGGAATGAATAAATCAATGAAAAAGAAGTGAACACGTTGAATCGGAAACGAACAACGAGTCGACTAGAAAAAATTAGCTATCGTTATACCTTCATACGATGGGAGTGGAAAGCGCGCGCTCCCATTAAAAAAAATAAGATTTTCTTTTCGTTTGCAAAATCGACCGAAATACAGACAGACGACTGACGAGAACAGAAAGAGGGGAAGAGGAAGAGAGAATGAGAAAGAGAAACAGCGAGAGTGAAAAAAAAGTGCGAAAATCATGTCGCATAAAGATGAAAGAGCTTGATTTGTATGTTACTGCTAATACCACTGACAGATTTCGCTGCTTTTTTGCACTGCATCGCAGTCTGTTCGTGTGTATGCACGCAAGAGATAGAGAGAAGAAAACATTTGCTTTGAAATCCAATCTTGATCCCTTGCTTTTCCCAGTTTTTTCTCTCGCTATGTTTCGTTCGTTGAAAAACGCTACTGATTTTATTGATTGCCCTCTTTCTTATCAATGACTACTATCTTATGTCACTTTGAGTTAAAAGTGAAACGAATTAGATTAAACTCGATTTGAAAATCGATTTTCACCAGGATCGTTCGCTGTGAAACGTTATTCATGAGGCTAAATTCTTGTCATTCAAACATTGAATACGGCTACAGTTGACAGAAACACTCTTGACATGAGACTTTAAATGTACATGTACACACACCACTCGTCACACAATCATGCAACGATTTCCTTGGCTACATTTCGAGAGCAAACAAAGCAAATTATTCATCAGCTTTAATTTCCATATCGCAGATGAATTTTTGCTATGCACTCACCGGAGTGGGTATGATGGCATTTTGTGCCATCGGTTTGTATATGCAATCATAGTAATGGAACGATTGTTTTTGTATTGTTTTGACATTCTGACAGAATTACTGAATGCCATTCAGAACTTGACTCACTGATGGATATGTGAACACTTAATGGATACATGGAATTGGTTTTAAAACGAACACTTTTGGCTATTATCTTATAATATTTTCACAAGTGGATGTTTTTTTAATTAAATGCAAATGGTAATACTCGAATGTTTTCATATTAAATCGGTTTTCCCATTTATTTCAAATTGACCTGAATCAACTGATCTAAGTTGCAGTTTTCAATCCTGATTGCAATTTATACTTGACTCATTTCAAATTAGTAATTCATAAAATGGTTGAATTTTCTATAAAACGGAAGATTGTTCGGTTTCCACCTGGTCATTTCTCTGAAACCTGTACATCGAAAATACATCGATGGCTGCTGTCAATCAATGGCCAGGTGAAAAACACGAGAGAATAAACATTAAATTTAAGCAAAATACACGAGACTTAAATTCTAAATATGGAAACTCAAACCTGTGCCAAATTTTCG